CCCGCTGCGCATCCAGGCTGCTCAAACGTTGTCGAAAGTTTGGCAGCACATACGTGTGTGAACAACTATTTTCTTTGATGAAGCTGAACAAAACATCACACAGAAGTCGATTTACTGCTGAACACCCTCACTCAATTTTGAGGATTTGCTCAGCTCAGAGCTGACCCCAAATATTGATGAACTTGTAGAAAAGTTAAGACACCACCGAGTATCAGCCTCAGCCTCAAAGAAGTGAATATTACTTATAATATACTGTGCAATCACATATTCAGAGTTTTTACTCAGTTCAAGTTTAAAAATTAAAGTATAATATTTGCTTTTGCTGCTTGTTACTTCTCCTTGAAGAAAGTGTTGTCTTTGGTTTATACATTTTTGCACTTTATTTTGTTGTATTTCAATCCAATTATCAGAGATGAAAGTGGACTTTTCTGAAAATTCCGTTTAAGTAAATTTAGCCTACTTTTGCTAAAAGAGAAAATATGGACTATTGATAGTGCCTTGAATAATATCGGCTTCTTTCATTCATGTTATGGGTATTTTTATACAAAGGAAATTTTTTGTGCCTGTTGAAAATTAAAGTTTATTGACGTAGCCATAAAAAAAATGTTGCTTTATTTATCTGACCATATTGGAATGTATTTGTTAGGTTTTCAGTCAATTAAATTTGGTTCAATAAACAATATGTGGTCATTTTTAAAATTTTCAATGAACATTCGGTCAGTCCGGCCCTCGGCTTGCAGCAAAATTTTTTATCTGGCCCTCCGTCCATTTGACTTTGACACCCCTGCTCTAACACCTTCTCAGAGAATCTATGGCCACAAACTGAACAGGAAAAAAGGTTAGCACTGGCATGGGTTCTTGAGTGTATTGTACAGCTTCTCTTCTCTGAGAATCTTTTGTTACAAACTGTGCAGGAAAAGGGTTTCTCACCACTTTTACCACAAACTGAGCAGTTTGACCTTTTAAGGCTCCCTTCTGAGTAAATCTTTGACCACAGACTGGGCAGGCAAAAGGTTTCTCACCAGTGTGTGTTCTTGTGTGTATTTTTAAGTTTTCCTTCTGAGAGAATGTTTGGCCACAAACTGCGCATGAAAAAGGTTTCTCACCAGTGTGGCAAGTCATATGCCTCTTCAAACTGCACTCATGGGCATAACTTTTCCCGCATTGAGAACATTTCCGGGGTTTGTCACTTTCACATGTCAGATCACCTTCAGACAGTTTATCACCAGTCTCAGTA